TATCCTCATTCGGTAAGTTGCCTTTTAAGTTTTGTTGATAGATTATTTTTGCTTTTATTTCTCAGAAAACAGATCTAGAAAAAAGTTGCTGTGGCCGATTTCAAAGAGGTTACTGCCTGTGTTCTCTTCTAGGATATTTATGGTTTCAGGTCTCACATCTAGGTATTTAATCCACTTCAAATTTTTGTGTATGGTGTAAGAAAGTGGTCCATTTTCTTTTACATGTGGCTGTCCAGTTTTCTCCACACCATTTGTTGAAGAGACTTTTTCCCATTGGATATTCTTTCAGGCTTTGTTGAAGATAAATTGACCATATACTTGTGGGTTTATTTCTGGGTTTTCTCTTCGGTTCCATTGAGATCTATTCTTTTTTAAAGATGTTATTTATTTGAGAGGGAGAGGGAGAGAAAATCTTAAGCAGACTCCATGCTGAATGCAGAGCCCAACTCAGGGCTCGATTCTACAACCACAAGATCATGACCTGAGCTGAAACCAAGGGACAGAGGTTTAACTGACCAAGCCATCCAGGCGCCCCTACATGTCTGTTTTTGTGCCAGTACCATACTGTTTTAATTACTACAGCTTTGTAATTTAAAGTCCAGAATTGTGATGCTTCTAGCTTTGCTTTTTCAAGCTTGCTTTGGCTATTCAGGGTCTTTTGTGGTTCCACACAAATTTTTAGGATTTTTTGTCCTAATTCTGTGAAAAATACCAGTGGTATTTTTATAGGGATTGCATTAAATGTGTAGATTGCTTTGGGTTGTATAGACATTTTAACAGTATCTGTACTTCCAGTCCATAAGCATGGCACTTTTTTCCCATTCTTTGTGTCGTCTTCAGTTTCTTTCATCAGTATTTTATTCCTTGGTGTCTTATTTTTGGTGCAGTTATAAATGGGATTTTTTTTTGTCAGTTTCTCTTTCTGCTGCTTCATTATTGGTGTATAGAAATGCCACAGATTTCTGTACATTTTGTATCTTGCAACTTTACTGAATTTACCAGTTCTAGCAGGTTTTTTGTGGAGTCTTTTGGGTTTTCTATATATACTGTCAAGTCATCTGCAAATAATGAAAGTTTTCCTTATCCATTGATTTGGATGTCTTTTATTTCTTTTTGTTGTCTGATAGCTGTGGCTAGGACTTTCAGTATTATGTTGAATAAAAATGGTGAGAGTGGACATCCTTGTCTTGTTCATGACCTTAGGGGAAAAGCTTTGTTTTTAAAAGATGTTAGCTGTTGGTTTTTCACAGATGGCCTTTATTATGTTAAGGCATGTTCCCTTTGTTGAGGGCTTTTATTATAAATGGATGTTGTACTTTGTCAAGTGCTTTTTCTGTGTCCATTGAAATGATCATATGGTTTTTTCCTTTCTCTTATTGATGTGCTCTATCACATTGATTTATGAATATTGAACCACCCTTGCATCCTAGGAATAAATCCCACTTGATCATGGTGAATGCTTTTTTAAAAAAGCATAAGCTTTTGAAGTCCGTGATGATTTTTAAGAGTACAAGAAGTCTGAGAACTGCTGTTTTAAGGGTCTCGAGTCCCTTTGCTCTAGAACCCAGAATCATTTGCATATTGCCCTCAGTGTTTTGCAGGCCACAGTGAGCGAGACAAGGACTCAGCCTTGGTTGAGAGTCAGCAGGGTAGTAGGGGAAGAAGACCCGAGTGCCTGAATGAAAGCCAGACAACCTGGCCTGTGCCTCTGCCAGGAAACCGAATGTTCCAGTGTAGCCACAGGAGGCACTGGGACAGAGGGTGAGAGATGGACTCCCTGGGTGCTGTACCCACAATAAGCACTAGTTTGATCACCCACTTGCATTGTCAATTCTCATTTCCATTACTCTCCACAAGAGGGATTTCAGATTTTTTCTTTTAACCACTATTGGATATTTTGTTTTTATTTCTAGTCATTTCAACCTCCTGCTCTTCCCATTGCCAAATTTCTGATGTATCTTTGACATGCACTGATGTGCTTCCCATTGGCTAGTCCCTCCTCGTCACTGCCGGTGGCCATCCTTTCTCCTGCGGTGTTTGTCATTTGCCTATTAATTACACACATTGTGTCTGCCCCCATTCACTGCATTAAGTAAATGATGTTAGCAGTAGCGGGGAAGAAAGAAAGGTTTAGGGAGATTCACAAACAGTGGTTGTGGAACAAGAAAACTGGTGGTGGGTAGGGGGTGAGTATCACAGTATTTGTGTACTGTGGGAAAATATCTTAGCTAAAAAGCCTTCTGTGCCTATATCACTTTGTTAAAAGTGATAGGGAAAGGAACGTTTCTGATCTTATGGTCCCTGACAACACACATAGTGAAAATTGCACTTTACTGAATATCTTGTCAAGTAAAACTAGTGAAATCATTGGACAGGCACAAAGTAAATTTTTAAAATGCCTACTAATATTTCTACCCTTTAGGCTATTGATTTTCTTATGTAAGCGTAAGTACTGACACCATTATTTGAAAGATAATTACTTAAAAATACTCAAGTTATATATTCTAATTAGCTGCTTATTGTAAGGGAGAATGTTGGGGTTGACAAAGGACTGAGTTTATGCACTGGTTTTTGGAGCGGTGCAAAGCAGGTTCATTGGGATGATTGGAAAGGGCGTTTTTTACATGGGAAACTAATTGTTTTGACAATAATTTTGCAGGAATTAGGCCAAGAAAAGGTTTGTATGGTCCCTTGGTGATTAATTGCCCATCCCCAGTCATTTATCAAGCTTTTTTCTCCCCACTTGTACTTACCTCATGTCTGATTCTGGTTTATGCACTCTGAAGATGCAGCCTGGAATGGCGATCTGAGTACTGTGTGTGTGTGAGAGAGGGAGGGAGGTAAAAAAAAAAACAAAAAACTTTTGAATGAGGACAAGTGAGAGGTTTGATGAGCAATGACTTGTTTCCAGTTCCTTTTAATTTTGAAGAAAAATCAAAGAATTTGACACACTATAATTTGGGCCAATTTTAGGCAATAAATGTCCTAAAATATTATAAACAAAATTCTGTTACGGAAAAATAAGATATCTAGCATGAGCCCTTCTGCTACTTGGTAACCACTTTTTTTCTGGCCAGTTTTATAGAGGATGACCTTTGGTAAAAACCACATTACCCTCAGTGACAAATTGTTTTTGCTCATTTTCATAATTTTTATTAATAACTGAAAATTTGTACATCTTAATTCCCTTCACATATTTTGCCCTTCCGCCCAAACCCCCCTCCTGTCAACCACCAGTTTGTTCTCTGTATTTAAGAGTCTGTTTCATTGCTGTTCATTTGTTTTGTGTTTTAGATATCACATATAAATGAAATCCTATATTGGTCCTTCTCTGGCTAACTTATCTCACTTACCATAATGTATTATTCCTTTTTATGGATGAGTAATATTGCACTATATATATTTTCCACATCTTTACCCATTTATCTGTAGATGGACACTTAGGTTGGCTTGATAGATATCTTGGTTACTGTAAATAATGCTGCAATAAACATAGGTACGCATATATCCTTTCAAGTGTTTTCGTTTTCCTTGGGTAAATCCGTAGTAGTAGAACTACCAGATCCTATGGTATTTCTATTCTTAGTTTGAGGAACCTCCAAACTCTTTTCCACAGTGGTTGTACCAGCTTGCATTCCCCCAACAGTGCACAAAGGTTACCTTCTCTTGATATCCTTGCCAACATTTATTATTTCTTGTCTTTTGATACTAGCCAATTCTGACAGGTGTGAGGTGTAATATCTTATTTGGTTTTGATTTACATTTCCCTGAGTAGTGACACTGAACATCTTTTCATGCGTATGTTGGCCATCTGTATGTCGTCTTTGGAAAAATGTCTATTCGGGTCCTTTGCCCATTTTTTATTGGGCTGTGTGGGGGGTTTTGTTGTTATTGAGTTGTGAGAGTCATATTTTGGATTATTGACCCTTTATCAGATACAGAATTTGCAAATATCTTCAATTCAACAGGGTGCTTTTTTTCATTTTGGTGATGATTTCTTTTGCTGTGCAAAAGCTTTTTATTTTGGTGTAGTTCCAATAGTTTATGTTTGCTTTGTTTCCCTTACCCGAGGAGATAGATCCAGAAAACTGTTGCTAAGGTTGATGTCTAAGAAATTACTGCCTGTGTTTTTTTTTATAGGATTTTGGTGGTTTTAGGTCTTCAATTCACTTGGAGTTTATTTTTTGCATATGTTATAAGAAAGTGGCCTAGTTTCATTCTTTGCCTGTGGCTGTCCAGTTTTCCCAGCACCATTGAAGAGACCATCTTTTCCTCATTGTATACTCTCGTCTCCTTTGTTATAAATTAATTGACCATATAGGTATGGATGTGTTTCTGGGCTCTCTCTCATGTTCCATTGATCTGTGTGTCTGTTTTTGTGCCAGTACCATATTATTTTGATTACTATAGCTTTGAAGTATATCTTGAAATCTGGGATTGTGATACCTCCCTGCTTTGTTGTTCTTAAGATTGCTTTGAAGTCTTTTGTGGTTCCATACCAACTATGATTATTTGTTCTAGTTCTATGAAAAATACTCTTGGTATTTTGATAGGGATTGCATGGGGTAAAATGGATATTTTAATAATTCTTCCAGTCCATAAGCATGGTGTATCTTTCCATTTGTGTCTTCAGCTTCTTTCATTAGTGTCTTACTGTTTTCAGAGGATAGGTCTTTCACCTTTTTGGCTAAATTTATTCCAAGGTATTTTTCTCATAATCCTTTAAAATGATTAAGGAGCTCTAATTTGAAAGTAGATCACTTTCTTGGCAGTTATTGGCAATTTCAAAGCTTTAAGTCTGGATGGAGACTGTGGTGTTTTAACAGGCACAAGTCCCTTCCCCTCTATTTTCTGCACTTGATAGCATGATGACCAGATTTGTTACTGCAGTCATTCAAGAGGGTGATTCTCTGTCCTGGAGGAGATGGGACACTAGCCCCCTACAGACTGTGGCTGTGCTTGGATCAATTGGCACTGAAGGTGTCTTTTTCCCTTTTCAGGCTTCAGGCTGTGATGGGTCGGAGATTCCTGATGAAGTGAAGCTGATCGGGTTTGCTCAGTTGAGTGTCAGCTGATGTATGTCCCTTGACATCTCCCTGATCTGTCCTGCCCCCCACCTCACAACACTCCCCTCAGTCTTCCTCCCCTGCACCCTGTCTCCCACCCCCTCACTCCCAGTTCCCACAAAATCAGAAGATTGTGAAGAGTCTGGCTTCAATGAAATGGGATAAAAAGGAATTTTTTTAAACTTACAACACTCCGAGTTCTGCTTTATTCTCTAGCAATCCACAGTATGAGAACAAGCAAATGCCACAGCTGCACGACTGTTGCTAATTTTTCCAAAAGCTATTTAATATTCTTAGCAATCAATTCGGATATCCCTTAAGTGAAAAGAATCTGAAATACACTCAGGTGGTCCTATTTATTGGCAACAAAAGGAATTTTTTTTCTATCAGAAGCCTATTTCTTCTCTCGTTGTTCTTTCTGCTCTACTTTAATTGTACATCTGACAATACTGCCTCTTTTATGTTGTATTTAGAAATTAATATACTTATAAAATTAAGATTTATTAGCCAAACTTGAATTCTAGTTTTAAAACTGACTGTGAATTTTATTTTTCATATATTTATGCATTACACACCTTAGCTATAAGAAGAAAAGTTTTTGATTATATGCTTCTTGCAGTTAATCTCGTTATTTAAACAAAAAACTTCAGGTCTATCTTTGGAGTATTTATAACTTTTGATTTTTGAAATGACTGAATTAGGAACTAAGATGCTTCTTCTTTTGGTTTGTTTGCCGAAAAACCAATCCACAATCTGATTCTCTTGGGAGAGGGAGGTGCCTTGCAAACTTTCATATTAAGAATGTGCCTGAGGCTGCTTAACTCTGGAATAGTCTCAGATCTAAAATTTCCTCTACATCAAGTGGCATATGTAAGTTTTGCTTCATTGGAACGTATAGAATGCTATATAAAATGTTGCCATTCTATTAGACTGCTCATTATATACCCCTCTCCGATTTGACTTCTCCTTAAGTGATAGGATTTGTTGTTCCAAAATTGATAAACTTGAAGCTACCAGAATCTGAGTTTTACTTGAAATTCGGCAGAATACCCAGATGGAGTGAAAAATAGAAAGGGTTTTGTGCAATGACTGACTAAAAAGGTAAAATGCTGTTAAGTAAGTTTCAAGAATAAATACTTTCAACCCAAGTAGCCCTCTGCTTGACTATATATTACGGAATAGTAAACCTTAGGATTTTCGAAATTGGAGTCTAAACTTTCAGAGAGGTGGGCTCCCAGGATGGTACCATTGCTCTTTCCTAGCTAACCCTAGATATGGCAGCTCTTTAATGTACTTTAAAAAGCAAATATATATTACTAAGGAAAGAAAAAGTTATTTATAATTGCCTTGTCAGAATTGTTGAGGTGTTCTAGAGCCATTTGCATACAATTTAATGTAATTTCATTCCATTCTATTGTTTACACAATGATTACTCAAAGATGACTGCAAAGGTAAAAGGAAAATAAAAGTGTATTGCACAAAGTGATGGTGTCCCAGTGTTTCCTTCCCCCTCCAGGTATCACATGCATGGTGGTGGGGCTAGTCAGCACTTTGACGCCTCCTAAGAACTAACGAGTGAAAAGCGCCCTCAAGGGAACAAGGCAAATTCACACTCCATGTAGACAAACTGTCTGAATTCAAACCATAGGGCTGCAGGGAACAAGAGAAAAAGAATTCCTTACCACGGCTTCATTTTAGGCCGGAGGCTTGGCGTGCTTATGACGTTTCCAGGGTCCTTCACGAAGCGACTTCCAGAGCCAGACTCCCAGGGCCCGGGTTCTGATATCCAGAGCATATTCTTAACACTGTACACTTGGTGGACAAAACCAGTATAAGACAAGACCCTCATCATCTAAAACATGTGAAGAACTGAAGAACCCTTGTTTTGCAACATAGTATCATAGAATATCTGATTGATATATGCTCATAGTCCCATAGCTTTACTGATTGTATATAAACTCCCTCAAATACTAAGACAAAGATTGTTTTAAAATGAAGGGCCCATAAGAACTGACTAACAGTATGAACACCAGGGTCAAGTCCATACACAGAAATTACCCATGAGGTCCTGCAGAATTGCCGGAGGAGGACAAAGCTCGGGATCAGAGCGTCCAACCCTCCAGGCGCGAAGAGGTGTCTGAGCAGACACTGCAGCCCACTCTGTAACATTTTTCTTTTTAAAGTTGGGAGAAATACATTGTTTCCTAGTACTAAGGCCGGGAAAGAAATTTCTCTAGCAAATTAAACTTATGTATTCAGAAACTTCAGAACTCTCAAAACAGTCCTACAACACACATATAGTAAGTTTGGAACACACTTACCTTTTCTAGTACTTTCAGCAGCTACCCAGAGGTAGGTTATGTGATAGGAAGTGCCAGTCATCAAGGAGCTGAGAGCGTGGTCCAAGCAGTTATGGTAATCAGCAAGTATAAAGGCGTGAGTGCACGATATATCCTTCAGGCAACCCTCCATGACTGTTTCTCTTAACCAAGCTTTTGATTACAGAGGACCCGCAGCAATGCAATGTTGTGATCCTGTTCACTGGCAAGGACCTAAACTTCACTGAACACATATTTGGTATCTGTTTGGACAGATTCCTATGTCTTGACAAATAGGTGGGTTCACAACCTCTTAGTAAAATCAAGGCACCCATAGCTCTCTGTCTAAATACATATAAAAACTGTTCTGCATCCAGGGTGCTTCTATTGTGGTTAGTGTGCAAAGTTGTAAAATAGAAGCAAATTCCCTTTTATCTCATTTTAACTCCAATATATCATCCTTATGTGAACAAAATGGTTTTCTATATTTAAAACAACTTTTAGAGGGGTGCCTGGGTGGCTCGATTGGTTAAGTGTCCAACTCTTGATCTCACCTCAGGTCTTGATTTCCGGGTCATGGGTTCAAGCTCCACATTGGGCTCCATGCTGGGTGTGGAGTCTACTTAAAAATAAAAACTTTCAGAGACACCTATAAATCATGTGTGATGAAAATTTCTCTAAAAGTACCCTTGTAAAGTTCCCTTATGTGTTCCATATCTTATGTGCTGGTAAAATAAACATGGTGGATGGCCACCTCCTCTTCATGTCTGAGTAGGGTGAGGTAGTAGTCTTTAGAGGAAGACCCAAGAATTCCCTCAAAAAAAAAAAAAAAAAGTCCTATATACAATGATTTTAGCATGTAAAAGTTTCATATTCATATTTTTCAATCCCTCATTTCAGTAATGCATCTATGGTCTGTTTCAGTTTTAAGCAATATACCTCGTGGGTGAACCCTCCAAGTTAAATTACAGAGATGGTGAGTATGAGCCCATTCACACTGGAAGACTTGTCAAAACTTAGGATTTGCATTTGACAGCAAATGATCTGAGGTCTTTTTTTCTTGGAAGCCTATTTGATAACAGAAGCTGTTGCTTAGTGAGGCCCATTTAGGTTGTGATAGGAAGATCATATGATCAATTTAAAATGGTTATCCATTCCTTATAACTGAGAACATGCTTCTAGCTCATCCATATGTGGCTTTATACAGTTAAGATTCGCTTGCAGGGAACTCAGATATAGCTCGGTTTTTGAGGCACATATTTATTGTCAAAGCAGTTAGGCAATCCTAGCTAACAACTCTTGACTCTCACCAGGATCTTAAGGGGCAGGTTGAGTGTGTATCATGTGCCACAGTGGGTGGTACTAGAACATTCCTCCTCAGGGCCGGAATGTCCCAGCCTAGAACCATGGAATGCTTTCCAGAGTTCTAAGTTTCAAGACGTCTATGAGTAGGCCTAACAGACATAAACAAATGGCTTTCAAGTGATAATTTCCGTTGTGTATCTGCATGAGCTAAAAATTCAAGTGTAATGAGTTTGATTATAAGTGAGTGTTATCTTTAAGCTGATGCAATCTGCCTGGAGTTTGGTGCTTGGGATGTGCAGTCTCAGGAATAATAAAAACATTTCAATGCATGTAACTGGTGCAGACAGTAAGAACACATGTTGAAAATGATGAAGTGACTAACTTCCTCGGTATATCAATTAACCACTACAAAAAGGGGAGGGGGGTGCTGCAAAGCATAAAAAATGGTCAAAAATACATTTCCAAAATGTCTCAGTGGTTGCCTAGACGATATTTTGCCATGGGGAAAATGCATGGTCAAATAACAATGAAGTCCTTTGATCTGCCTCCTTGGGCCTTGCTCCCCAAACCTAGCCACGGAGTTTGGGAATCTAGGAACAGTGAAGAAGAATTCACACAGTTAGGTTATCGGCCACTGTGCATCTTGTGCCAAACCAACGGATGCTGTTTTTAATCGAGCATCCCCAGGTGAAAAAGCTGAGCGAGATACATAAAACTTCCTCTACGTGAGTTATAGCATACAAAAACGTCATTAGCTGAAGTTTATTGAGCCCGTATAATTTAGCTCATAACTCATCAAGGGGCAGGGAATATTATTAAAAGTTATAATCTTCTGCTATTGTTATTTGAATTTGCTACAGAATGATGAAAGGGCAGTAATGGAATAATCATTCCTATAGTGTATTTATCCCTCATATAGAAAACCAGCTTGAGAAACTGAGGCTCGTAATTTATCAGTGAGGAAGCTGGCCTATTGTCTAGATAGAATATTCGGTAAAACAGCAGGTACCTAATCTGGGAGGAGGAGGATAGTGTGCTTCTTTACAAAATGGTATAGACAATCCTCTGGTCCAACCTTCACCCAGATGAACAGTTTGGTACTGAACAATTCCAGCAGCACTTACATGGGTTAAGTAACCAAGTTCAAAATGACTAGTGCAGAGTAAGGGTGCATACACTCAGATTTTTCACATACCTCAGTCTTTTTTTCCTCCTCTCTCCAAACTCTACGGGATTCTGAAAAAGGAAGTAAGAAAATCAAAACAATGTGGGGGATTGAGGAAGATGCATACTGAAATGCCAGCACTGTTTGTGCATGTTATCGGGAAACCCTGAATTCAGATCCAGCACTATTTTCCAATGCTCTAGAACACTGCATGAAGCTTGGCCGTATGTGTTATCCAGTCTGATTCACGCAATAGTCCTGTGATGATGTTTAATATGTACACTGAGTAACAGGGTGGTAAGATCTAATTCTTGTTGTGGGTTGTAGCCAGTAAGTTTGAAAGCCACTGCCCTAAGCCCTGTTGAATGATTTTTCTTATTGTTCTTGCAGCCAAAAGCAGTCACTTTGCTAAGAACTTTCCATCATCTCATTTAATCTTAAACAACTATATTGGTTGGGTTTTATTGCCCCATGTTACGCATGAGAGAACTAAGCCTTGGAAGGCCAAAGCTGCACAAGGTAACACACTGTCAGACATGTGGCAGGAACTTGAACGAAGGTACATCTGGTTCTAAAGCCAACACCCTCAATCATATCAGACAACCTCCCTACATGACACAAGACACATTATTGCAGGTTTTCTCTGTACCAGGCACTAAACCAAAGACTTCCAACTCACCTTGCTGAAGCCTCTCAACAACTCTGGGAAATTGGCTTCATTATCTGCAGGTTATAGACAAGAAAATAGTTATACAGAGGTCTGAAGTAACTTCTCCAAGGCCCGCCAGCTAGTAGGAGAGAGAGGAACTGAACCCAAGTCGGGTGGACTCCAAAGCATTTCCACCGTACCTTAGAGAGCTGCCTAAGGGCAAACCCAGATTTTGTGGGGCCTGAGATTAATACAGTTTGGGGTAGGGAACTCTAATAGAACTTGGGTAAAAGTTATTCATGACAAATTAGGTACTGAGTCTTGCAAGGGGCCCTGACAGCTCTTCCTGGTAACTCTGCCACTGAGTCACAGATGTTGTACCTGCTTTACATTTCATGATTTGTATTACAGCTTCTGTGTTCATCAGAGTCTTTTGTGATGTCGCTTCCAAATCCAGGAATGTAAGTAAGTTTTCCAAGATCAAAGAATGAGAGAGAGTTGTTTGAGAAGGGATGGTTTCAGTCTGATTACTTTAAGTGCCTTAAAAAAAAAAAAAAAGGGAATCTAAACAAAAAAATAAACCAATTACATCCTTTAGTAATAAAATATAAGGCCAAAATAGCTTCTGCTCAGGCTTTGTTGCCGACTGTCAGTGTGACCTCACCCAGGTTCTATTTCACTTCGCTAAGCCTCAGTGTACTCATGTTTAGATTGAGGGGGATTAATTAGTTGATGATTAACTTCCTTTCCAACATGAACATTCTAGGGGCTTAGTTGAGCAGAGGAATGAATAAACTGGTTGCTGCTTGACTGTACTGGTCCATCCATTCAGCTGTAACAGGTGAGCTGTTGAACTGGGTTTTAGAAATTCTAATCAGTTAATTAGGATCCTTTGTTATAGCAGAGTTATACAGGGAGAGTCAGGATCAACCTACTTGAAGTTAAAAAGATGGATATGTTAATTAGCTTGGCTGTGGTGATTATTTCACAATCTATATGTATATTGAAACCTCAAGTTGTACACCTTAAATATATATTGTTTTTAT